GAGTGCAGAGAAACTGATGACACCATCTAGAGGCAGGCTGGCCCTGTGCAAACACCCCTCCTCTACACATAGCTCTGTCAAAGACTCACCAGGCTGAGCCCCACAAACTCAGTCCAGCTGTGGCTCAACTCCCCCTCTGAAACCAGGCCTCTACTAGAGAAAGGCTTTGCAGCCTGCCAATGAAAAGTGCTATAGAAAAGCAAACTATCAACAGCATCCCTTGCACCCTCCCAAGCCAAGTGCTTGACAGCTCCTTGTATCACAGTGAAATAGACAAGATGGGCCTGCTGCGGTGGAGAGAGAGGAGAGAATCTTATCATGAAACCCAGGGTTTAGTGGGTTTCTTGACCTAATGTCTGTGAAAGCAAACACACTGTTAACTTGTCACAGGGCTCCAATCCGTCAATTTGTCTTGGAAAGAGCAATATATGGCAAATCATGACATGTTATGCCCTGTCTTTCTTCTCTGTATGTTAATAAAACATTTTCATGTTTGATAGGGAAGACTCTGGCTGTCCCTTATCATTGGGCAGCAGCCCTGGGAAGTCTGCTAAATACTTAATAGAGGGTCAACTGGTTCCCGTGACTCTTGTGTTCATTTGGCGACTGCAGACATTGCACACACCCCTCTAAACACGCTCCCCTGGGCTAGCATCTTGGCAAATGTCAGCCATCGAAAGGATTAAGAATGGCTTCATTTATGATAAAATAAAGGCTGGAGGGCAGCAGATAAACTTTAGGCAACATTAGGCCACATTGCACTTGGTATATACTGCAATGGGCTTGCTGGGCTCAGGCTGCAGGGCCTGAAATAGCTGTGTGAGCGTTCTCACTAGGGTGAGGCGCAGACTCAGAGAACCCCACCCCCTCACCAGGTCTCAGAACCTGGATTTCAGCCTGAGAGGGAATGCCTACACTGCTATTTTTAGCTCCACCCAAGACCTGTAAGCCTGAGTCAATTGATCCAGGCTCTGAGATGGTGCTGCAGGTTTTTCTTTGCAGTGAAACCATACCTATGTAGTGGAGTTCCTCTGCAGACAGTGTTACATTAGGTTACACGCAGGAGGTTTTCTCCAGAACTCTAAGAACTAAAATCTTATTTTTTTTATTTATGGAAAAGAAAACTTAATTTCTGCAGAAACTGCTGTGTGCACAGAGAAGTGCTGGACCTGCGGGCAGGCCTGCTACAGGCTCAGTCCATACACTGACTCTCCCTTAGATTGGAGCTGAAAACCCTGCTTCGATGGAAATGATTACAAAAATACAGTTTAAAGCTGTGCGGAAAGCCTTTTAGCCGGCCAGAGCCTGAGTTCAGCGTTGTCAGCTCCTCCTGCTGGCAATTCTAATGTCATGAGTTCCTCACTCTTCCTTAACATTCAACTACTACTAATAGACTCATGGGCTGGGAGAGGTCACCAAGCCTGAATGTGAGGCGATGAGTCATCCCTGAGCTAGAGCCTGATGAAGTTGCATGTGGTGATGAGTCATCCCTGTGCTAGGCTCCTGCCAGTCCTCAAGCCAGGAGCTGGTCCAGTGATTCTCAGGGACCATCCCCATCACAATTTCTGCCAGTTTGAGCAGACTGACCCTGGTCAGGCTCAATGGCCAAGGTGGATTTCATAATGCCAGCTGGTACCCTCTACAAGCAAAATGACATTTCCAGGTTCCCCCACCACTGAGATGGCAGAGCTAGTTCAAGGTCTCCAGAATCAAGGGGCCCAGCTACAATGGGAAAACATCTTCCTAGGATCCCAGATCCCAGCAATCCCGGGCCCCCTTGTGCTGTCAGCGAAAAGAGCCCAAGATCTAGGCCCAAAGCTCCCATTACCAGAGAGCTGATGGGAACCATTGGAAGTTTCAGGGTTTCTCAAGCAATGTCACCTACTGTTCCTGGTGATGTTCTACCCAAAGAACCAAACCAGAGTAGGGATTGTCATCAGCTTATTGAGAGGCGAAGCACTGGATTGGGCATTGCCACTCCTTGGGGGTGGGGGATGGGACACAATTTTCAATGACTTTGATGAATTTGTGTCTTTTCACTCATGTTTGATGACCCAAACTCTGCCCGCTCTGCCGAAGTTGCCCTGCAGTTGAGACAAGGCCCCTGTTGCAGCCTACGCCACCCACTTCTGTCCCCAGGTAGCTGACAAAGCCTGGAATGAAGCAGTGCAGCTTTACTACTTCTGGCTAGGCTTGAAGGATGAGATTAAAAATGTGATATCTACCAATGTGATATAGTCCATCATGTGCCAGCAATGCCCCTCTGCCATGTACATTGGTCAAACCGGACAGTCTCTATGCAAAAGAATAAATGGACCCAAATCTGACATCAAGAATTATAACATTCAAAAACCAGTAGGAGAACAATCTCCCTGGACACTCAATAATAGACTTAAAAGTGGCATTTCTTCAACAACAAAAATTCAAAAACAGACTCCAACAAGAAACTGCAGAACTGGAATTAATTTGCAAACTGAACACCATTAAATTAGACCTGAATAAAGACTGAGAGTGGATGGGTCACTACAAAAACTAATTTCCCCCTGCTGATACTCACATCTTCTTATCAACTGTTTGAAATGGGCCACCTTAATTATATTGGCCTCATTAGCACTACAAAAGTGATTGTTGAGAATAGCCCACTTCCACCTTAATTGAATTGGCTCGTTAGCAGTGACCCCCCACTTGGTAAGGCAACTCTCATCTTTTCATATGCTGTGTATTTATACCTCCCTACTGTATTTTCCACTCCATGCATCTGATGAAGTGGGTTTTAGCCCACGAAAGCTTATGCCCAAATAAATTGTTAGTCTCTAAGGTGCCACAAGGACTACGCGTTCTTTTTATTAAAAATGAACTAGCCCAGGTCAACCCGCACCACTGCATTGTTCCCCTTCATTGACTTGTGTTGTGTATCCAAATTGACAATTGACTGTTCGATGCCAGGAAAGAAGGAAGGTGTGTGCTCAGCCCCACCTGGCCCTGCCCTATTCCTGTCCCTCTCCCCCTGCCCCCATGCAATCACTGGACCTGAACCCATGCAGGTAGACATGACATGAACATGACCTCAGATCAAGAGAAGGAATAGCATTTTCTCAATGGCCTATGCCTGTACAGTGGAGAACGAGGCCACTTTGCCATCAGGTGCTCCCTGAAGTCCTGTCCCATGGGTAGTCTGGGAAAACATGCAGGTCCAGCCTCATGCGAGGGGACGTGGCTGGCCAGAACGACAGACCCTCTCTGCTACCTATCCTAACGGCCGCAGACAATGGCCAATCTCACTTTCTGATCAAGCTCCGACTTTGAGGCCTGTCTACACCCAAAGCAAGCTGCACACAGCTCGCACTGATAGATTCTGGAGCCTCTGGTAATTTCATGGACACTAAATTTGCTAAACAAACCACCTGCTGGTGCAAAGGAAGCTTATCCACAACTTGGTGGAGGCAATCAATGGCAGCTTGCTGTCCTCGAGCCTGGTCATCTCTGAGACACCCCTTCAAGTTGTAATTCAAGACCACACTACGTTGGGGAAGAGTCAGCATGGCTTTTGAAAGGGAAATCACGTCTCACCCATTTACTAGATTTCTTTGAGGGGGGCCACAAACGTGGACAAGGATGATCTAGTGGATATAGTGTATTCAGACTTCCAAAAAGCCTTTGACAAGATCCCTCACCAAAGGCTCTTAAGCAAAGTAAAACAGTCATGGCGTAAGAGGAAAGGTCCTCCCATGGAGCAGTTAGTGATTACAAGATAGGAAACAAAGGGTAGGAATGAATGTCAGTTTTCACAGTGGAGAAATGTAAATATTGGGGTCCCTGAAGGATCTGTACTGGCACCAGTTCTGTTCAAAGCACTTTCCAAAGGACATCAGCATTATCATCCCCATTTTACAGTTGGGTAAACTGAGGCACAGAGAGGGGAAGGGACTTGGCCAAGGTCACCCAGCAGGTAAGTGGCAGGATAGAACCCAGGTCTGCTGAGTCACGGTCCAGTGTGCTCTCCCCTAGGCCGCACTGCCTTTGGGGGCAAAGGACGTTAACTCTCCTGGGGGATGAGACAGAGACTGGAAGGCAGGCTCTTGGTGGGTAAAAGAAGGATCAGACTCTTCTGTTTTAAAATACATGGAGCTTGATTCTTCTCACCTTTACCACAGGTGAAAATGAGGATTTCAAACAGTGCAAAGGAGATCGGAGTCAGGCAGACAGACTGGTAAATGGTTCAGCCTCCATACGGATTCTGTTACTGATTTGGAATCCAAACTGAATTGATTTATTGTAACGGAATCACATCTGTTCTCCTTGTACATTATACATAATGTATGCTGCTCGGGATAAGCCACGCCCCACGTGAAGCCTAATGATACATTCTCTGCTGTTGTAATGAATGAGCAGAGTGCCCGTTTGATAATTAAACAAATGGGATCATGATAAACCCACAACCGCTGGTGGTGGATTTTCCTTGTGCACCAAGAGCTCAATCAAGGGAATCGGACACAACTTCCCCCTTGCTTTCTGAACTGACGCTTTTTAAAAAACACGCACATGCTCACAAGAAAGGCGCAAACAGACACAAGGAGGGTGGGAACTGCACATTCATTGGACTGATGAAATCTTAATGCTCTTATTACTCTGGTCTTTGCAGCTACCCTTCCAACACCACGAAGTCATATTCAGTTTCTCCCAAGGGGTTGGTAAAGGGTTAGGTGGAAGTCATCAAGGCACCCCAAAAGTGGAAGAAGTGTGGAAATGTAAGAAGTTTAGAGAAAAGGGATGAAAGATGAAAAATTAGCATCAGATTTCAAACACTGCAGAGGGTTGGAGGTGCTTTGATCTGGGGGATTTGTGCAGACTCAGATCCTGAAGTGAATTTGAGGTTGTGGAGATTTCTAAGGGTGAGAATGGAAGTGTAGTGGGGACTGCTGACCTGAGAAAATTTTGGGAAACCCCTTTCTTTTTCTGGATCAGTGGCAGGTCTGAATGTAGTGAAAGGCAAGCAGGACTGAACCTTACAGCATTTATTAGAGAAATTACACAGTTTGCTTCAAGTTTGTCATAAAAAAATAAAACCTCTTTCAACAGGGGCATTAAACATAAATGAACAATATATACATGTCCATTCCGTACTCCAGCAGCTGCAGGGGCTAGTCCATTTCCGCCTCTCTTTGGGCCTTGTATTCCTTTACGCTCGCCTGCAAATGAGATCAAATGACCAATGTCAATGCTGTATGTTTGATTAATTAAATCACAGCCAGGCCCATGCCCACACCTGAGGAGCTTTGAGAGGCTCTCTGGTTCTGAACATACTGTCCCGGGCAGAGTAAGACAAGAAAAGTGCAACATTTTAATGTGACTGAGGCTCCTGCTTGAAAAGGCTGGAGGGTCTAGGAGGACCAAAGGGTGGGGAAGGAAACCGATGAGCTTTAGGTGCTCTGAGAAATGGTTGCATTTTATTTCTGATCACAGCCTTGGATCACTGTAAGGGAGGTGAGGCAGCGCCCACAGGAGTAGCCCCAAGATCAGCCTGCCTATTGACACAGATGCTTTACGGATTACAGCAGCATGTTTGAAAGAGAACAAATTCAGGGCCCATTTTTGACCCCACTGAGGTCACTGCCACTGCATCAGGCCCTTCCTTCAAAGAGCACAGGTCCACATTCATTAGGGTTGGGGGGAGCAGATTATTACACCAGCTTATTGCTGATTGATCCCAAATTTATTCTCGTAGCCCTGCTGCATCCAGGTTCCATATGCACCACTTACACCCAAACCACCCTTCACACTGGCATTCTTACATCCCTACCACACCAAATTGTCTCTATGATGCACTAGCTGCTCTCTGCCACAAACAGGATTACTGAGCCTCTGGTGGCTTTCCAAATCCTATCCCCCCGGTATGGTAGAAAAAACACTTTTTCCAAGATGATGGGGAAACCCCTTGGATGCGGAATGCAGATTTGTGCATTCTCTGCGCTTCACTTTACACTGCAGTAAAATGTAACGAACAGGGTGAAATAGCAATATTTTGCATTTAACTTGTACAGCAACTTTCATCTGAGGATCCCAAAGCACTCTACAAACACTACTTGCTTCTCAGAACCTCCCTTTCAGAGGCAGGCGAAGTGTCATTTTAGAGATGGGGAAACCGAGTCACACAGAGGTGAAGTGACTTCCCCAAGGTCACACAGTGATTCAGTGTCAGAGCTGGTCAGAGAGCCCAAGTCTGCTGACTCCCAGTTCTACTTCTCTAACTACTACAACTGGCTGCCTCCAAATATGTGCAGATCTTGCAAGAAGAGCGAGGGGGGGATCGGTTAACATCTGCAGCCATGGACATGTTAGTGCCTCTGTCATTCAATCAATGCAGCCAGCTATTTCTCTCCTTCACAGACCACAGAGAGGAGAAGCCCAGAGTCATTCTACCATGAAGCAGTTACCTCACCTCAAACTTGCTAAGCACGTGCTGGCAGACGTCCATCAGTTCTGTCAGTCCTCTCCGGAATGGCTCAATGGCCAGGATCCCCCCTTCAGAAAAGGAGAAGCATTCACAGAAAGCATGGCTGGCTCCAGTATTGGACATGGGGCCCTTCCCCTCCTAACCCAGCTCAGTAGTGACCAACCATCATACACCTCCTTGGCAGCCCCTGTGATGAGGTGAGGATCTTAGGCCAGCAGCCATGTCATGCTCCCTCCCACTCCCATCAGCAGTCTGAGAAGATCATACAAGGACTGAATGGAGGCTTGAAATGGTGTCTCAGAGCCCCAAGTCCAGGCTGAAGCCCTTTGGCAGGGGACAGCGTAGGGGAAGCTTGCCCTGCAGTTTGTGCTGTGGACAGACATAGGGCTCCGCTCTCCCGGGCCAGCAATCCAGCACTTTGCAGTAATTCTTCAAAAAATTAAAAAGTCATGTAGCACAACTTGGCCATTTCCAGTGGCTCTGCTCTTCTACGCAACCGACACTCAAGGCCTACAGGAGAGGGGACCTGTGAGCTGGGAACCAAGTTAGAGGCTCTGGCTGGGTTCTACAAACTATTCAGAGGGAAAATTGTGAGGTAGGTATGGAAATGGAGCCGCTCATCAGCCTCGCTCTTGCAATGGCAGATACAATCCCAGGCGAGTCCTGCAGGCTGCCCTTTGGTGTGGACATCAGGATAGGATGGGGGGAATTCAGAGTATGGCACCTGGAGGGCACCCTGCTGCATAGAGCACTTGCGGTGCTATTCACCCCAGGAATTAGCAATATCTGCCCATTAAACTGTGTAACAGACTTGATCTGTTGTTTAGTGTGTAATGTAACAAGTTTTGTGTGAAGATCTAACTTGGAGGGGGCACCCGGGAGCGAACTAGGGGGTGATGCTAGGTGGATGCCCAGGACTGAGTGAGGCTTTGGGACCACAACTCCCCAGGCTTGCTGATTACTACAGAGGCCACGTCTGGGCTCTGCAGTGGGGGATGATGGAGACCAGCTCTATCATTGCTACTCAAGCTGCACTGATCATGGATGGTGATTGCAACTGCCCTGTAGAATGCTGGAACCAACGACACACAGAGGGAGGGAGAAAGACTTCATGGGCTGGCAGATCCATGGTTTCAGGGCCTGACATGGCAAGGGACAGCTGACCAGGGAAGCCCAACTGCATTCCTACCTCTGGTCTGGATCCGGAAGTTGATTTTGCTTTCAGATGGGTGGGTGATGCTGTAACCACAAAACTCCACTTCAGAGCTACAGGAGAAACAGAAGCAGGAAGCACAAGTGGGCTCTCAGAATCAGCAGAAAGCCAACTGCAGAGACACTCATGTTTAGGAAGCCTCTGAAGCAAGCAGACCTGCGATGCATCTTGGTCTCACGTGTTTCAAAAGCAATCACTTCCCATCACCCACAGCTCTCTGAGAGAGGCGTGCAGAGGAAAAGGTGTGCTTCTGTGGGGTGGGCTGGATCCTAAAGTGGGCAGGGTATGGAACAAGATAAACATCCCCTGCCTTTTCTATGTTGTGGATGGATTTCACGCCTGCCCAGACCCAAACTTGAGACCAGTCAAGTGATTGCCCTGGCTTTAGCAGCTGAAAGAAAGCATGGCCTAACGGTTACAGCACTGGTTTGCTGATGGCGATTTATCATGAGCAGCTTACAAGACTATCACAATTTGTCCTTTGAAATTATCAAATGAAAAGCCCTCTTCCTGAATACTTCTAGAGCTGGAACTCATGACAAGAAGTTCCTCATAAATATTCATTACTGGATAGTTTGGATAGGGTCACGTAAGTCAGGAGATACTATTCTTTTGACTGCATGAGCATACGAATCAGGCTCCCAGTGCGAATATTTGTATTTGCAAGTTCAAAATAAGATTCTCTAATACTCACTTGAACACTGGCTGTTTCCACTCTCAGGCCTGACAGTAAACTTGTTCCCAAAGGGGCAGAGATGCAGTCAAAGTACATTTGTTTAAAGAACTCAAGTATGGAGATTTGCAATATTCATCTGGCTTCAGAAGTGCCAGAGGTGCTAGATCAGAAGTCTAGGGACAGCAAACATAGCCCTGAGGTGGTACCAGTTATCACAGGGACTCCACTTACTTTTTCATGATCATGTAACGGAGGGAGTTGCCAAATGTGTGGTCCTCATCATGTAACACAAATGTGACGCAGTTTCCATCTGTCCCATCTGCCTGGACCTGCCAGAGACAGGAAAGCAAGAGGAGCACAAGAATATGGTTATATCTCCAGACTATTTAAACTCCTCCTGAAGTAATTAAGGCCAGGCCTAAACTAGAAAAATGACTCACTTCTGATGACTGGTGTCAGCAACAGGTTCACCCACCCATGGTATGACTGAAAGCATAGACCTGGACAACTATGTTCATCATTGTTCATCTATGTTCATCACTGAGTTAGAAAACAGTGGTTGAGATTTGCCAAGAGCTTGTTTTTGGAGAAACGCCACAGCTGGAGTATGGGCCCACCACATAAATCTGGTGTGAAAAAAAATATAAAGCCAGAGCCTTCCTCTTAGAACCCAGGGATTTCTAGGCTGCCAGATAGATGAAGGCTAGATATACTGCACGATAGAAAAGCTGGGAATTATTATTATATGCACAGTCAAAGGGTTGGTGTTATCTTAGGTTCTGATCCTTCCATTCCTTGCATACCCAAAGGTCCCAGCCTTCAAAGGGAATTTTGGGAGCATGAGTACAGGATCCCACCCTCAACGACCTTTAATACCAAGCCGTTCTTGGATCTCATTCACTGGGAGTCACATTCCAGACCCAACAATAGACTCATAGACTTTAAGGTGAGAAGGGACCATTATGATCTTCTAGTCTGACCTCCTGCATAATGCAGGCCACAGAATCTCACCCACCCACTCCTGTAACAAGCCCCGGCCCTATGTCTGAGCTATTGAAGTCCTCAACTTGTGGTTTAAAGACTTCAAGGTGCAGAGAATCCTCCAGCAAGTGACCTGTGCCCCACGCTGCAAAGAAAGGCGAAAAAACCCCAGGCCCTCTGCCAATCTGCCCTGGAGGAAAATTCCTTCCTGACCCCAAATATGGGCAAGACTCATCAGCCAGACACCCAGGAAAGAATTCTCTGTAGTAACTCAGATCCCACCCTGTCTAGTGTCCCATCACAGACCATTGGGCATATTTACCGCTAATAGTCAAAGATCAATTAATTGCCAAAATTAGGCTATCCCATCATATCCCTTCCATAAATTTATCAAGCTTAGTCTTGAAGCCAGATATGCCTTTTGCCTCCACTGCTCCCCTTGTAAGGCTATTCCAGAACTTCACTCCTCTGATGGTTAGAAACCTTTGCCTAATTTCAAGTCTAAACTTCCTGGTGGCCAGTTTATATCCATTTGTTCTTGTATCAACATTGGTACTGAGCTTAAATAATTCCTCTCACTCCCTGATATTTATCCCTTGGATATATTTATAGAGAGCAATCATATCTCCCCTCAGCCTTCTTTTGGTTGGGTTAAACAAGCCAAGCTCTTTGAGTCTCCTTTCATAAGACAGGTTTTCCATTCCTCGGATCATCCTAGTAGCCCTTCTCTGTACTTGTTCCAGTTTGAATTCATCCTTCTTAAACATGGGAGACCAGAACTGCACACAATATTCCAAATGAGATCTAACCAGTGCCTTGTATAATGGTACTAACACCTCCTTATCTCTACTGGAAATACCTCGCCTGATGCATCCCAAGACCGCATTCGCTTTTTTCACAGCCATATCACATTGGCGGCTCATAGTCATCCTGTGATCAACCAATACTCCAAGGTCCTTCTCCTCCTCTGTTACTTCCAACTGATGTGTCCCCAGTTTATAACAAGAATTCTTGTTATTAATCCCTAAAAGCACAATCTTGCACTTTTCACTATTAAATTTCATCCTATTACTATTTTTCCAGTTTACAAGGTCATCCAGATCTTCCTGTAGGATATCCCAGTCCCTCTCTGTATTGGCAATACCTCCCAGCTTTGTGTCATCCGCAAATTTTATTAGCACATTCCCACTTTTTGTGCCAAGGTCAGTAATACAAAGATTAAATAACTGTGAGTCTGTGGAAACTGGCACCTAGAATGTAACAAGACTCTGCTTTTTTTCACTCAAGAGAAGGGGGAAATAGTCCCAGCATCTATTGCTGCTGGAGGAGTCATAGGGATACCAGTTGGGATCCATTGTGGGGAGAAAAAGGAGACTATCTAGGAATAATGGGATGAAATAAAAAGAAATAAGCAATGAGGTGAGACAGCAGGAAAAGCTTCCTAAAGGAGAAAGTTTGTTGTGAGGAGTCAGGCCAAGTCTATACTTACAAGCGTACAGCAGCACCGCTGCACCAATACAGCTGTGCCGCTGTTAGAGCGCTTGTGTAGAATCATAGAATCA